CCTGTGTCTCTGTCTCTCTGTTGTAGTGGGGGTGGAGGGAAGGCTGCACATTTCATAACCTATATAAGATTATGTATACTGATTATGGGAACTTTTCTCCCCTCCAATTCTAACTCATATCCTCATCTCTATATCCTTCCAGAAGAATCTGTCAAAAAAGAACAGGTGAAATCTTATTACATTCCCTGACTTCAAAAAGCCATGTATGCCATTGGTCCAAATGATTTTTGTGGTGTCTGTCTCACTCTTAGGTGTCTACGTGTATAGTATGAGGATCTCACACACTTTTCAGGGTTTACACTTTTAGGCCCCAGGTAACAGCTGGGGTCCACTGGTAAAATGTTTAAAAATGTTAACTGTCTTTGCAATAATGAAATGCAGTAAGAAATGTCTGAAAAGGCTCAGAAGGTTCACTGAGATGTCTTCTTGAGTCTTCTCTCAATGAGACCAGTAGAAGGTTGCAACAAGAGAATGAAATTACCCAAGCCTTCTCTGTTAAACATGCTGTACATAAGCATTCTACCGCTGAGAAAACATTCACCATATATTTTACATCTTTCAACAAAAATCTAACAAATATAGGTGTACCTTACCATTTGTAATTGAAATTTCTATTAAAACTTTGGTTTTGTAAATCAAGCCCTATTTCAAATACACAGGAACAGGACAGCTCTCATGCACAGTGCTGATTAGATAGTCTAAGTCAATCTTCATAACCCATTGTCTTTATTTCTGCCCGGCTGCCTGAAATCACTAGTTCAGCCTTAAAGGCTTTTGAATTTAATTCAAATGTAGTATTGGACAGATAGCTCTATGAAGGGGAACATCTCTAGACACTATCCCCTATGGCTAACAGTAGTTATTTTTGAAAAATTGCATCATTTTTCTTTAGGGAAGTTTGACTGGTAGATCAGAGACAGAAGGACCTTCCATTTTGGGTAAGAGAAAAGGTTTCCGGGGCTTTGATTCAAGGGTGCTGTCTAGGTACAGAGGACAGCTCTTACGTGACCTTCACCAGCTTTGGTTGCTTCTACTGCTACTGTGCCCTCTGTATTCTCCTTTGGAATCCTTTTTTGATGATCCGCTAGGTTAGATACCATGAGCCTCCACTGATGTATATGGTAAGATCCAATCTGAGCTTACTGGGTTTGTTTGTACTATGGGGGCATATGTGTGGTCTACCCTCTACCAGTTGTGAACACTTAAGTACCATGCTGCAAAGGGACGTCTTGAGAGTCTGGGTAGCAGGGGAGATTCTGCCTCCTCCACTGTAACACAGCAAGCATCGCCCCCTGGGAATTGATAAAAATGAAACCACTCTTTCTTGTAGTGCTAAGTGGTACAAATGTTTTTCAAATTCATGTTAATCAATGATAATTTTATAACATACTTTGAGAGATACTTGGAGGTTCAAGTTTTTCCTGGACTGATAAATGCTTTAAGAAAAGCAAAGCAGCCCTTGGGTCAGTCATGTGCAGCGCATCTCCTCTAAAGGAGGTAACATATCAGTCTGCGGCTGAGAGAACAAGGGAGGGACGATGCCAACAGGAAACAGAAATAGGCTATTTGAGGACAAGCACATCTCTTTAAAGTATTCCTGCTGCTGGAGGGACCCGATTGCCCTAATAACTCAGATTCTATAGGCACAATGGCTGGTAGTCAAGTTAAGTTAGAAAGTATGTTTCTAGACACTGGTGCAAGAAGTGGCAAATGGAATAGCACAAACCTAGCAATGCTGAACTGCAGAGGAAGGGGGGAGCCTATAAAGAGTAGACTCCTTCGAGTATAACTGTACTGTGTCCGAAATGCCCCCTTATGTGCTAGGGTCTGCAGCTCAAAAGACTCTCAATCAAATCCTTGAGTTAAGGCTTCTCTTAACTCTGTCTCAGGGCAAGGGTTCTTTAAATACTAAAAACTGCTAACATTTTCTTATCTACTGCATCTGATTGAATGATAACTAATGGATACAATCTGCTTTGGCCTGGCCCCTTTCTAGCATTGAAACTCTCTTTTGAGTAAATTTCTAGTGTTCTCAAGAACTTGTTAGTATCAGCTAGCACTGCCCCATGAATGGACAGTCTCACTAGAAAATTATTTTGTAGTCTATTCTTCCTTCTAGAGTATAAGAGCTTGGAGGGCAGCTTTATCCGTTTTAATCGCTGTACTTTGCAGTAGCTCCAGCAAGATTCCTACTGTCTGACAGGTTCTAAGTAATGCTTGCTAAATGAGTAAGTGGATAGATGAATGGATGGGTGGGTGGATGAATGAATGGAAGAGTGAAAAATGAATATTCCTTGTTCATGGAAACATGACCTCCAAAAGTGGCAGGTCCTTGTTATATGAAAATGCTGGTAGGGAAACTTGATCCACGTGGAGACTAGACTGGTTTTATACACCCTGGCTAAGAAGGAAGAGAGAAAAAGGGGTGAGCAGAACCTTTAGGCAGCCAGAACCTAAAGGGACAAGTTGCTAATATTGTAATACAAATAGTTTTTCTGATCCTCTTGACCAGGGGTGTTTGGCAAACTTCTGGAAGAGCCAGATCATAAACATTTTCAGCTTTGCAGGCCATGTAGATTCACTTTCAATTACTTGGCTCTCCTATCGTAGTGCAAAAGCAGCCACAGGTAATAAGTAAATGAGTGGGCATGGGTATGGCTGTGTTCTGATATAATTTTATGTATAGACACTGAAATTGGAACTTCCTAGCATTTTCACCAGTCATGAAATAATGTTCTTTAGATTTTTCCCTTAACCATTTAAAGTATGAAAACATTCCTTAGCTTGTGAGATTTGGCCTGAGATCTGTAGGTTGCTAACCCCTGCTCTCAACAAGGTCTACCTCATCACTCTGACAATTCCCTCAAGCTTTGCAGAAACAGAACACATCAGAATTAGCCTGTCCCTTCCTCCATTACGGCAAATTCCCCAACAAAAACATTACAAGGAACATCACAGGTAATGACCATATTGTACTAACTTCTGGCCAGGTCATCTTTGGTGTCCACCACAAGTTGAAAAACCTGCCTTCTGTTTGATTTAGGGCCGAAGGATAAAAGGAAATCTAGAAACAAATGAAATCTATAAATAATCAAAGAATCCTTATGTTTGTACTACTTCTCAGCCACACCCACCAAGAAAACAACATGAAAGCGGCCAGGAGATCAACACTTGACTTATTGATGATGGTCTAAATCTTTTCCTTCTCCTGACCTCTTTTTGTGGAAATAAATGCTCAGTTCTTGACTAATTAAACAATGGCCAAAAACACAAATCTGTAGTCTAGAACGGCTACCTGACAAGCCATGACAATTCTACTCAACAATTTATTTTAGCCCATCAAGAATTTAATGTTATCAAATAAATAAATGCAGGAGCTTGTATTACTTTATAAATACCACTCCCAACGTGTACAAATTCAGGTAGGAGTAGGCATGGAGTTTATTCTTTTGAGTCCAGTTTGTCAAGGGCTGTGTCTTAATCATAAAGGAACTGTCGGGGTGGGTTAAATCTACTACTTTTTTTTTTTCTTCTCAATAAACGTGTTAAAGATGTTTCCAAAGACTTGTTTTAAAATGCTGAGATTTTATGATGTGCCCTTTTCCTGTATAAATATCTTACTGTTCTAATAAGTTTATATCCCAAGTTTGAATGGAAAAATATTAACTGGCTAAACAAAAATAAGTTTTGAGAAAAATCCTACTAAAAAAATGTAATTTGTCATATAAGATGATAACTAATTAAAAAAAATCCTTTCTATCCTGAAAAGTCACAACAAAAAGTTTAAGTGTGTTTTGGCTGATTTTTCTCTGCAACTATTTGAAGCTGTAAATGACTTAACTCAGTAAAATTCCAAATGTAATTATCTTCTGTACTTAGCCTAGGGCTCTCCATATATCTCAGCATTGCTGTCTTGCATACAAAATAGGCTTTTCGATGGCTGGTAACAATATAATGTACAACATTGTTTTAATTTCCCCTAGCCGGCTAACCTCTTGCCTACACTAAGCCAGCCAGAGGAAGAAGCCACTGTGAGTCATCAAGCACTCAAAAGCATTTTGGAACTCAGCTGCATAAATGGGGTTTGCAGGGTCAGGCTTCTGCAATTGTACATTTTAATAATCTCCATTTCTGACCCAATTTTTACTTTTAGAAACTAATTTTCTATTAATTATACTGAGAATGGAATTATTGTTAAAATATGGTAGTTTATCAAGTTATACCCGGAAGTAGAACTCACATTAAAAAAAAGTCCCTTTCTCTCATAATTGTGATCCCCAGGAAAATCTGCAAAGTGTATTTTCTCTAGTCATAAAGCACATTCAACATAGCCTAATGGGTTTCTAAACACTAGATTATATATATATGAAACATATATATACATTCTATATTAATATATCTGATTCTGTGCATATGTGTTTAAGATGTGCATGGTGAACTCTCAATTATTCTTAGTGGTAGAGGAAAAAAGGACAATGCAAAATGAGAAATAAACCCACATACAACTTCCATTGCAACTTTGGAAAACACGGCTTTGTGTGCACTGCCTTGCCCAGTCTTGGTCTTGCGCACTCTTTCTCTCTTCATTCACATTCATTTTCTCAATCTCTCTCTCCCCAGCTTGTCTTCCTAGCTCCAGTTTAATCATATGAGCAATGTCGAGGACTTACACCGACAACAGATAACCAGAAAATTCAAAGGAGAAGAGAGAAGAGAGGGAAAGTGAGAGAGAGATGGAAACATTAAAAGTGGTCACTGAGAGTTGGCTGCATACACACAGGTGCCCAGAATTTGGAGACCTCTGAGCAGCAGTTCCAAAGAGTGAACTGAGGCTGAACCTGCCCAAAGAGGTAAAAAAAATAAAATAAAATAAAAAAGGACAATGACAGGTTTTGGACCTTCCATTCAATAATGAGTACACAGGAACTCATTACAGAACACTACAGAAATTTGGAATTTGAGGCATACTGAGGTAAGATTAAAAATAAATGTGGTTTTAC